ACATATTGCAAGGAAAAAAAAAAAAATATATATATATATATATATATATATATGCATATATATCTACACAAATTGTCGAACAAAAAAGAAGCAACACCAGCTCAAGCTAAAAAAAAAAAAAAAAAAAAAAAAAAAAAAAAAAAAAAAAAAAAAAAAAAAAAAAAAAAGAGGACAAGCTTGTTTACCTACTTGCTTCTCCTTACCTTCCCTTGTTAAATTTAGTCTAAAATATAACCTATCAAATTTAAGTAAAGGACATAATCCAATAAAACAAGGATGGGTTCATCTCAAAATAATTTTCTTTTCATTGCCACTCGTGAAACAGCCTTGAAAACGGACAGAAATGGACAAAAGCAAGGCTAATTGAGGAGTTACCAAACATTAACCAAGCAGCAAATGTGGAACGTCTTGTGTTATTCGGTGTTTATCAAAAGAAAAAAAAAACGTGGAACGTCTTGTAAAGGAAGATATTCAGAATCCATAAAATCGGAGCAATAAAAAAAATCAGAATCCATAGAAACTAATCCCTGCGTTTTAAATCCAAAGCGAAGATTTCAAACACGACCAATTAAGCAAATTGGAAAACCATGGCCCTCAGAAGTATATCATACAAGAGATAATTTCACGATAATGCCAACTATTAAGGGAATGATTGTTATGTCTGCAAATTGAACTAAGTAACCAGCTAAACAAAGTCGGGAACAAAGTACAGTAAAAAAACATTAACTAATTAGTTCGAGATTTGAATAACCGACTCAAATAGAAGTCAAAATTTCACTCAGCAATATCTAAAAATGGTTCAAAATGCTTTTCGAATTATCATCCACTCATTTAGCTCTTGGAGGCAGCCTTTTCCTTGGCCTTTTGGATCTTCAAAACCTTCTTCACAATCTTTTGCTCTTCCACAAGGAATGCTCGAATGATCCTGCAGGGAAAACGATGAGGAATTACAAACTTGATTTGATCATTAATAGCAAGAACACCCATGAACAATGAATTAGTCATATACCTCTCCCTAACAGCACCTCCAGAAAGCACGCCTCCATATGCACGGTTCACAGTCCGGCGATTCCTAGACAATCTAGAGCGCTTGTATTCAGTGGGTCTCAAGTGAGGAATCTGCAACACAACGTGTTTATCATCTAATCTTCGTTCTATAACACCGACTCAAACCAACAATTTTTCAAGCAAAGAATCTCGTTTCCAAACCAAATTCTACGCTAATCAGTAAGTGAAGAAAGGTCCGTTTGTCATCTAATCTCGCATAAGAGCAGTTCCGTAATACTTGCAACAATTAATCAAGAAACGCACTCTCAATCTTATTCGCAAACGAAAAACAACACTAATCAGTCAGTGAATGAATAAACAGATAGAACACAGAAAATGCTCATCATGAGACGATAATCGAAAACAAATGCGAACATAGCTTAAACAAATTAAATAGAGAAACAGGAAAAGTACTACAACTCAAAAGCAATGGTAAATTACCTAGTTCATAGCATATACTAATTCTCCGACAATAATTTTACAATTCCCTAGTTGTTCGAAAAATCCTATGCCCAATACATTAACAAGTTTTAAAAACATAAGAACCGGGAAACCGTAATCAACTAGCCATCATTTGGATTTCAGGAAGATAAACTTGAATAAGGCTTTTAAATTTGTTGTCAATATTTACTAATCAGGAAACCCTAATCAAACTAGGCATCAACAAAACAATATAACATTTCAGATCATGCAAAACCCAAAACGCCATTAATGAAAGCTCAATGAAAACCGTACATACCCCTTGGATTCTCTTGCCAGTGACGGGGCATTTCGGACCGCTGGCTCTCTTCTTGGTGGTCTGGTACACCAACTTCCCTCCTGATCATCGAAACGCAGAAAAGCAAAAAATCGAATCAAAATCCTTCACAAGAGAAACGTTTCGGCGATCGAATGGTGAAATAGATGAAGGAAAGTACCTGGGGTTTTGACGATGCGGTGCTGGTTGGACTTGGTGGCGTAGCTATGGCGCTTGCGGTAGGTCAGACGCTGCACCATTTTCGCTTGACTGTCGAGCTCGCTCGGCGACTCTGGATCTCTGGTTCACGAACACGACGGTGTGGAGTCTGCAGCGAAAGAAAACAAGGTGGAGAAGAAGAAAGAGTTTAAATAGGGTTTTGTAAGATAAGAAACCCTAAATCTGACGGCTGCAGGAGCGAGTTGGTTTATTAATGGCTGCGATTAAAACTTAAAGAGACCGAGAGAGAGGCATTTATGGCTTATTTTTCATTTATACCCCGAGGCTTCTTTATATTTAGAAAAGGTACCCAAATATTTGTAAAATTCAAAACGGACTTACATTTTGTAATTTTATGATAAAAGCAACCTTCACTTCAAACTTTTTTTTTTCTTTTCTCGCTTGGAATTCCTTAAATTATTAAAAAGGTCTCATACTATTTTTCACACACATATTCTTAAATCACTCCTTATTCTCCTTGTTATACCCCTTTTAAGATTTCAAAAAAAAAAAAAAACCCCATGCAATTAAATCACGCAACATTCTACTTTTAACACACACATTTTAAGCTACCTCTCATTCTACTTATTACACCCCTTTTAAGTTTTCAAAAGAAAAAATCTCTACAACTAAATCAAATTAATTTTATTTGATAAAATTCAAAACGTCCATTTTTTTTTCTTTTCTATTGAAAAATGTACAACATTTTCCTATAACTAATTATATATGCTAATCGTTGTTAATAATCAATTTTTATGCTCTCGTTTTTTATTTTCTTAGGAGAAAATGTGATTTTTTTAGAAATGTGATTTTATTTTATTTTTTTAACTAGTTGTTCTTGCGCTTTTATTGTATGACCAAATAAATTATATAGAAAATTTGATCATTTGCTCTTATGTTGAAGGTAGAGGTGTCAAATGGGCCGGGCCGTCCATGGATGGCCCGGCCCAGCCCGTAATAGTGCCGGATTCGGCACGGCCCGGTTTGCTACTGTTACAGGTCGTGCCGGCCTGGCACGTGTAATGGGCTAGGGCTGGGCCTCGGCTTCTCAGCCCGCGGCCTAAGCCCGGCCCTAGCACGTGAAGGCCCGCAGCACGGCCCTAGCCCAGTTCGGCCTAAGCCCAGATTCGGCCCTTGTTTGGCCCGGCCCAAGCCCGTGAAACAACCCATTCTAAATGCTACCGTTGGGCCCTTCGCAGGCCCAACGGGCGGCCCGTGACGGGCCTCCCGTTTGGTACGTGATGAGCCTCCCGTTAGGCCCGTCATGGGCCGCTCGTTGGGCCCGCGAAGGGCCCAACGGTAAGAATATGAAAATGGCTAAAAATTTTCTTATAAATACACCTTAATTCCACCATAAATCCTACACAATAATTCACTCTCAACTTCTCATCTCAATCTCATTCTATCTCTCAACTTGTCTCCTTCATTTTGATTCTAAGTTTTTTTCTCACGTTCACTTATTTTCTTGCTCTTTCATTTACAAAGTTCAAGTTCAATCAATTTTCAGAAAATGGCCGCACCAAACTTCCATGATTTCACTACTCTTCCTGAGCTTGGTGATGAGGCATTTTTTGAGGATGAAATGATGCGTCCCAACCCCAACCCCACTGAACCAGAAAATGCTCCGGTGGATAATTGTAATGCCCTCCAGAATTAAACGTGTTTAATTATGTTAATTATGTATATTAGTGTGCCTAAAACTGATTTTGCTAATTAATCTTGTGATTAAAGATTAAGTTTTTGAGTTATTTTAAGGACTTATAAATTACTTTCAGTTTTTCAATTTTCACCCCAAATTTTTTTGAAAATACACTTAATTTTAATGTATTTTCTTTTAATTTTCTTTTCTTTTCCTTTTTTCTTTCTTTTTCTTTTCTTTTCTTTCTTTTCTTTTTCTTTTTTCCCTTCCCTTCCCGTGGCTGCCAGACCAACTCTCTCTCTCTCTCTCTCTCTCTTTCTTTCTTTCTTTCCTTATCTTCTTTCTTCTTCCACGGCAACTCCTTCTCTCCCTTTCTTCCTTCACCGTCGGCCACCACTCCCTCCCTCTCTCCAGCCACCTCTCTCTGAGTCTCTCTCTCTCTCTCTCAGCAGTTTGGCTGAGAGACAAAAAAAAAAAAAAACTAAAACCGAGGGAAACAGAGCTCCATCAACTAATTTGAGGTAAAACCCCTTGAAACCTACTCTTTGATTCGAATTTTAAGCTTGAGAAAGTTTGGTTTTTGTTAGATTTGAATAATTTTGAGTTAGGGTTTGGATTTAAAAAATTGTTGTTAGAATTGAATGAAATTTGGGAGTTTTCAATTATTGGACTTGTTTAATTGATTGGAAACTGGTTTTGATGGAGTCTGAATAATCTATTTTGAAATTGAGTTTCAATTGTAGGTTTGGCATTTTTCCTATTTATGCCGGCATGCTGTCGAAATTTCTTTAAAAACTTATTTTTAAACTGAAATTAAATAGGAAACCAAACCCATGGATTGGATTTCAATCCTTAAAGAACCCTCAAACTGATTATAAACTCATTTGTAAAACTTGAATTTGAGTCAATGCACACTAATAGAAAACAATTAAACATGATTGAGCTTAATTCCTTTTAGGTGAGAAATACTTCCTAAGATATTGCTTTTGTGATAAAGCTAGTGGGGAAGGTCAAGTATTAAAAGTTTAAGGAAAGCGGGGGCTAGAAGAACGGAAGGCTAGCCCAGGTTTGACATCTGAGAGGTAGGATATTCTTGTCCATATCCTTGTTAGCCTCACTTTAAATGATTTTGACCAATGAAAATGTTTTAGAACAAAACATGTTGAAAGAAAATGATTTTAAAGGAAATAACATGAATAATGCTATTTAGTTTTCCAATGATTTTGGAAATGAGATTTTAAAGAGTATCATTTCTTAAAATGAAATATTTTAAGGAATGATACAACACATGGTGGCCACAGAGATCGGGATATGAGAATCATATCCTTGGGGGCAGGTCCCGAATCCCGTACGGATCCACTTCTTGCTCAATGGAATTATGGCTCTGCACTTTTCACTAGACAAACATTTTACCACTCCTTGCTCAGTGGTATGATAATCTGCACACTTTCATATTACATATATTTTCTACTACTATGTGAGTATTTCCTTTAAAAAAAAAATGATGATCGGTTCCGGGTGCATGTTTTCGGACCGTGAGTACTTTATTTATTATGTTTTATAAGATTATGTCATACTGGGCCTTCCGCTCACTTTTCTATATTTTCAATGTTTTAAACCCGCCCTCCATAGTTAGCGGTTTAGATTTACAGTGTGACAAGTGGATGCCAATAAATTGAAGGCGTGAGATTCGAAGCGGTACGTTTGTTTCGGATTTACAGTTTTAAATTCTGAGATGTACTGTATTTCTGTATGTAAACTGTATTGGTCAACATTGTCCCAGAGTTGTACTATTTTCTTTGGACTTTATGGACTCTTTTAAATATTATTTGTGAAAAAAAGTCTCCGGAGCAAACTATATTGATATTTATGTATTTATTTTTGTGATTTTATTAAACAGTCTAGTTTAATTAAGTTAAATTTTAAATTAAACCCCAATAATCACGGCCCTATCCTTGGGGTCGTGACAATAATGCTTCAGTGCACAACGAGAAAGCTGGAGAACGCAGTAGGGGAAAAAGACCGCGAACTTCTCCGGCATAGCAGCATTTCACCGAGGAGGCCCGACCAAATCCAAAAACAGGTGAAATAGAAATTCGTGCGGTATGTAAATATTGTAAAAATCACTTTTCTAATAAAAAAGGTGAGAGTGCTGGTCATCTGGATAGACATTGGAAAGTATGTCTACTGTTGCACCAAGGTGGGAATGTGGACTCTTGCCAACAAACACTATCACTCACATCACAAGGGTTACAAAATTTTACATACGATGCACAACGTGCTCGTGAAGCACTAGCTAAATTTCTAGCTAGTGCCGAATTGCCTCTTTCTTTTACAGATGATGTGTCGTTCGAAGAATTCATCCAGATGGCCTTCTGCCCACAATTTAAACGGTTAAGTAGAAACACAACTCGTTTTGATTGCATGAAAGTGTTTTATGCAATGAGACAATCTCTTGTTGATAATTTTAGGACTTTTAATGCTATTGTCTCTTGCACTTCTGATCTGTGGGAGGGGTACAATAAAACTGGATATTTATGTGTCACAGCGCACTATGTTGATGACGAATGAGTTTTACAAAAAAGAATAATTGGTTTTCGTTTATGTCCATATCCTCATAACGCATCATCTATTTTTGGTACAATAATGGAAATTTGTGGGTTTTATGGGATAGAATATAAAGTTTTAACTATTACTTTTGATAATGTGTCAGCTAACACGGTTGCAATTAACATGTTTAAACGTAGTTTGAAACTAGCGTTTGGCGGGAAAATTGTTCACCAACGGTGTGCATGTCACATAATTAATTTAGTAGTTCTGGCAGAAATTGAACATATCTCATCTAATCTAATAAATATTAGAGAATCATTATCATTCATATCTAGTTCTAGAGCTCAGCTCCAAGAATTCAAACAATATTATAGGAACAGTCAGCTGCGCCCAAGAAAGTTTCCAACTAACGTGAGACATAAGTGGAATTCTACATATTTAATGTTGAAGACAGCACTCCCGTATTCGCAGCTTATCACGACGTACGTAAACAGTAAGAACGATCAACTTTTAATTTTTGATACTGATTAGCAGATTAGTGAGTATTTTTTTAAATTTATAGAAGTTTTTTACAATGCTACTGAATTACTTTCTGGAGTTTATTATCCTACTGCACACTTAGGAATAGATATGCAACTAACTATTACTGACGCTAAGAAAATGTTAGAAAAGGTTTTTAGTTTGTATGAAGCAAAATACAACACAGGTCAAAAAGAATAAGGAACTTCGTCGTCAACTAGCAGTTCGGGGCCTGACGGATCGTCGTGGAGTTTCTTGAAGAAGAAAGAGAAAATGGCAGGATCGTTATCAACACAAGCGTCTACAGAACTGGTAAAATATTTTAAAACAAATTTTGTAATCGATGACGACAAACTAGACATCTTACAGTGGTGGAAGAGCAAGACCGATCATTTTTCAACACTATTTGTAATAGCTCGTGACATTCTGACAACTCCAGTGTCAACGGTAGCATCAAAGCAAGCTTTTAGCGCAAGCAACTGAATTCTTGACGAGAAGATAAGCAGAATGCATCCAGATATCCTGGAGGGGCTAATGTGCATTAAAGACTGGGAAGATGCCAGAAAACGAAAATAACAATACACAGATGATTCAATGCAAGAATATTTTTCTAACTTATAAATAACAGAATCTTCTAGAAGCACTTAGGTTTGTAATTTACTATTCCTAGGCTCTTAGCTACTGCACTTTTTTTTCCTTCGCTAAGGTTTTGTCCCGATCTCCCCACGGGTTTTACTTGGCAAGGTTTTTAACGAGGCAGTCATTTATGTATACTTATTCCTATTATGTCAATTCAATAAAATCACATCTTTTGGAGGCATATGATATTTTTTTAATTAAATTTAAAAAAAAAAATTCAAGGGTCGGGGCCGGCCCGAGAAGGGCCTGGGCCCAGGCTCGGCCCTGACCCTTATGGACTAGGGCCGCGGGCCTGGACCGGGCCTGAGTTTTTCTCCTCAGGCCCGGCACAGGCCTATAAGGGGCCTGGTGTTGGACGTGCCATGCCGGCCCGGCACGGCACGTTTGACACCACTAGTTGAAGGTAGTCATAGTTTGTTTGTATGGAAAAAAAAGCCTTAAAATATAAGATTATAACAAATAATTTTGTCAAACATTAACAAGTGATTCAAAATGTCAAGAAGTCAAAATAAATATTTTTTTATTACAATATTTTTTCTCGTAAAAATTTACTTTTCAATTAAAGTTCTTTACTCCAACTTAGGATAAGAGCGAGGATTTACTCTTGAAAATGACAAGTTCCTAACAGGTGCTAGTTGACTGTTTTGTATTTTTAGCCAAAAGAACTCAACATCTGTATTTTTTATTAACGTAAATAGCATTATGAGCGTATTTATCAGCTCTTATGAATCGCCAAATGGTTCTTATTGATTCTTCCAAGATCTCTAATATCATGTCACTTGTAATTCCACCATTTTCTCTCCCTCCTTTTCTTGCTTTCTTTCTTTCTTTTGAATCCTCTGCAATTCAATCAAGCTTGTATTTAGTTGACTGTTTTGTATTTTTAGCCAAAAGAACTCAACATCTGTATTTTTTATTAACGTAAATAGCCTTGGTAACTTTGATAAATTTGATTAAAAGTCAATGGAAGATTAGATATTGTAATTAAGTGGGGATAAATTGAAAGGAAAAATAGGAGCATTATATTGTGGCCCCTATGCTATGGTCCACGAATTACTATTTGTGACTTTGATTTGTGAGCTTACTTAGGTATACCGTACACATTAGCCACAGAACCATAGGGGTAACCAATCGACCAATACTTGTTATACATACGAGGTATAAAATCCTATGTGGGACTTGCATCTCCTAAACAGATACAAAAAGAACAGTTGATGCTGACGTTATTTAGCAGTAAATCATATCCCATACCCGATAGATTAAGATCCGTTCATTTCACCGATTCAAATTTTGCTATAGTAAAAAGCTCTCATATAAAATTATATCTCAACTCGAATTAAAAACTCGAATCAGCGAACTAAACAGACCATATGAATTTGACTCTCTACCCCAATTAAAATTAGGAAAAGAAGCTACACTTGGAAAATAGACATGGATATTGGACCTGCAAGGTGTGCCAAAAAAGGCATTCACCAATATTTTCTCTCATAACTACGTTTGGGTTACAAATGATCTAAGCCTGAAAACCGAAAAGGGTCACCTAAAAGTGAGAAAAAGCTAAGCTAATAGTTTATCATATTAACATCAACATGGAAACAACAAGAATGAAGGTTCTATATGTATCCTTCGTTTCACAAAATTGACCTTGCTTAGTTTATTGTGACACCAGACGAGTTGATCCGTCGTTATCCGCGACATGTTTAGAACCCGCGACACTAATCTCAGATCAACTTGAGAGAAGAAGTGAAGGTGATCCGAGCCATCTTCTTGGTGCTTTCTCAATTTCTTTAGTATGCAGTTTCCACTCCTCAAGAGGTCTTTAAGTTTCTTGTCTTTCTGCATTCAAAACTCAAATACATTAGAGAAAATGATCTTCTTCCAAATTCAATATGGTTTACTTAAAGACCAAAAAGGGAAAGAATATAAAGAGATTCATAAAGCTAAACCTTTTGGAGCTCCGTTTGAACCTCCAATAATAGCTCTGAGTCTACAGGGTCTTGAAGCTCTATATCCATTTCTCTACGGCTCTTTGGGACCAAATTATGAGCGTATTTATCAGCTCTTATGAATCGCCAAATGGTTCTTATTGATTCTTCCAAGATCTCTAATATCATGTCACTTGTAATTCCACCATTTTCTCTCCCTCCTTTTCTTGCTTTCTTTCTTTCTTTTGAATCCTCTGCAATTCAATCAAGCTTGTATTTAGTTTATGATGTTTAACCTTTTGCAACCAAATAAAAAAAAGAAGCCTTAATTTTGAGTTACATTTTTATCATAATCACTAATGTTTAAAAAAAAATATTCACTAAATATATAGTACTTTAGTTGACAATGTGATGGACCTAACTGAGCTTAAATGCATTTTGATCATACCTTAAAAGAGGGAAATAAAAAAAATCTAAAAGTTCTTTTAACTTCTCACCTCTTATTACCGGAACTTGAAGAAGATTACGCATAATGCATCGGTTCTTGACGTAATTCTCGACCCGAGGACCTTGGAACGGCTCATTTTCTATGAATCTTTGAAGAAGAACCTGAAACTGTTGGAACTCACCAGCAACTTCATTGTACTGACGCAGTCCATATGGATCAGAATCCCATATTTCAAAGATTTTATCATATTGCCACTGAAGGAACTCCCAAGAAAGGCACAACTGTCCAACATAAACCATTTCCAAATCACTCTTCAATTCTCTCCCAAACTTCTCCATTTGGTCAGACTCAGATTTCTTGCGTTTGTATCCCCATAGTGTTGAGGACTTTTGGCTAGAGAAAGCTCGAAGTGGGTCCTTTGATTGAAGAAAACCTGTTGAAAATGGAATGACACCAAACACATGAGAGATTAGCTTCTTCTATAAAATATAATGAAAATAATTGGCCACCAATACCTTTTTCTTTTTTTTTTTGGCATAACTCATGGAGTCGGTATAATTACAAAACTATAAATCAATTTTACAAGCTTAGAAACATGGTGGATGGAGCACTCAGTACAATCAGTTCAACATTATCACAGTGACAGAAAAAAAGAATTCGGAGTTAGGTAAAGGTGAAGGCCAATACCATAATGAGGCAGCTTTTTAAATGAAGCAGAAAAACTATTCTTAGGTTGGTTGGATGACAGATCATTTGTTATTAACATTTAACTACTCATTTAACTACTCCATATTGATACTAATTGCTGCTTTTTGGCACTTGGAAAATGCAGACTAATAAATCAATAATCACCTAACTGTAGAGTGGAAAACTTAAATAATTACTTTTTTAGCTTATAATATCCTTAGGAAGAAATTACCAAAAACAAAAACCCTCTGTACTCAAGCACACCTTTTGAAAGTGATGCATGCCGATAAGAAATGATGACCGGATCTTTCAAATGTTAATGGGGGTTACGCGTGAAGAACTAATAAATATATGTACTTATTTGTACATTTTATGCGCATATTATATATATATATATATACGGTTGTATATATCTCTTCCCTTCTTCCAAATTCAAATTCAAATATAAATTATCACTATTAATGTTAGGGATGTAAACAGGTATAGTTTCAACATTGCCAACTAACCAGATTGAGTGGGTCCAACTGTCCCCAGCTTGAAAGAACTACCTACGGTAGGTTGTGATATAATCATGCAACTTTATTCAGCCATAAAGTATAATTAAAGATCCGTCCTTAACTATGTTACGGATAGACATTGTTAACAAACATAATATATGAATAAAAAGTAATAAGAAAACAGGGAAAAACACACACACACACACACACACATTAGTAGGATACAAAATATAAAAACATATGACCAAAAAAATGGCACTCTGCGCCGGCTTCCAGCTCTGTAAAAATTAATTCTTTTTACAACTTAAATCGTAATTTAAAATTTTTTTTTGTGTGAGAGGAAATATTATAATAAAAAAATTGCAATTGAATTTGTTTGAAAAAAAATATTATAATAAACAGATTTAATTTGTGATTTGAGCGGTGAAAATGGGGCTCAGTTCTATTTCTATACGGAGCTGAGGAACAGGGCTCGCGATGCCCTGGTTTCGATCCTATCAATAATGTATTTTTTTCCACCTAGTGAAGAATTCTTAACAAAGAAAAGAGAATCGGTAAGAATTTTATACTGACCTAAAGCGTACATCTTCTGGTAATTCAGAATGTCAAATTTGCGCATCCTTTCTCTGTAGCTCTTGTAGAATTTGTGAAGCTCACTCAACCTATCTCCGTGATGAAACTTCTCATCAATCTTCCATGGCTTCAAATCCTCTGTTATCTTAGGAGACTCGGATTCTTCTAGAATAGTGGGCAAACCAGTGGCTCTGACCTTTCTAAGCTCCATCTTAAGCTGCTCAAGCAATTCTTGATGCTCCCATAAGGTCTCCAAATCATTTGAATCCTCAAAACCATTTGACTTTTCTGATGAATCCTCTTCATTTGGCTCTGTTTCACACAAATTTTCTTCTGACTTCTCTAATTTCCTAAGTTCTTCAAGAATGCCCTCATCTTCTTCTTCTTCTTCTTCTTCGTCTTCACGATCACTAAACTCACTGTTTTTCTCATTAACAAGAGTGCCCACTTCGCTAAATCCTTCAAAATCCACGTCCGAGAGAAAATCATCGCTGGTTGAGTCCATGAATCGAGTTATAAACGAGAATTCTCGGCTTGAAGTGATTGAATCGGAGTCAGAATCCGAGGCCATATTAGTACTCTCCGACAGAAAATTTTCGTACTCTGTTTCTTGGCTCTGTAATTTCCCTTTCCCAGAACGAGAATTTTCAACAATCTCTTCAACAAAATCCTTCTCGGACAAGAACTCAGAATGGGAAATCTCCTCGTTGCTCGAAGATTGAGACTTTGCAGAAAAGCTCGAGACTATCTCTTCTTCTTCGACGAAGAAGCTAGAGCCAGAGCTAGCGAAACCGCCATTATTCTCTGTAAGATTGCTGGTGAATTCTTCATAAGTCGGAAACTTGAATGTGAAAACAAATTTCGGCTCTTTTGAAGACTCTTTTCCTTCAAAATCTTCCGACCCTTTTGAATCCTCAACACGAGAGATCTCAGAACATGACTTTTGAATCCTCATAACTTCTGGGTTCTCAATAACAGAATCACTCGAACCAATCCGATCGGTTTCTTGGGGAAGAAGAATGTTCACCTTGGAACTATCATCTCTAACATATCTAAACAAAACCAAAAATAATTAAATAAAAAAAAAAGCACATTAGCTATATTCAAGAGGAAGTTATTATAAAAATAATAATTGGTTTTTGGAACAGTTTATACCTGAACAAGACTTTGTTGAGAAGTCTGAGGAAAGTACTTAAAAGGGATGAGAGAGAAACCAAAAAAGAGCCAAATAGAAGAGCCATAAAACCAATTGAAGAAGAGGCCAAGTTATACATGTTAATCCAAACCTAACTAGGTACAATATACACAATAAATCAAACCCATCAAAATCTGGTGTTATTTGTGAAGCAAGAAACAGAAATCGGTCATGGGAAATCTGATTCCCGCGTTGAATTTTCGGAGGAGAAATAGACGTACAACCTGTATTAAAAAAAAAAAAAAGATTTGCATGGAAGGGATTTAAGTGAAGATGAAGTCCGACCTAATCGGTGCGAGGGTAAGACTGATTCAGGTGAGATTGGAAGAAGAAATCTCGGGGGAGAAAACAACATGTCAGCGACTTATTTCGGTTGCTTAGAGCCATGGAATTCTGAGGACCGTTATGTGATTGACATATAGAATAATTCTTCAATCCTTATATCTATCCATATCTATATATGTGTATATGTATTATATCATCAGTTGATTGATGGGTCTGTTTTGCCTTTCTCTTCGCTCTCAGAACAGAGGGAGAGAGAGGGAGAGAGAGAGGGGAGAGAATTGGGTAAAATTGAAAGTTTACGTCTATATTGGTTTCATTTTTCCATGTCTATGGTTTCGTGTTTATGATATTTATGACGAGAACTTTATGGGAAAGTAGCGAAAAAGAAAAAACAGAGACCGACTTGCAAAAGAAGTGATTTTCAACGTGCAATAAATTATATGGGTTGTATGATTCAGTAATTAGATTTCTTAGAATGGTGCCATTTCACGCTATTTTTAATATAGATGTTAATGTTAATTGTATAATTAATGTTAAAAAATATTATGTGATATATTATTTTTATTTTGATACATAATATCATTTAAAATGCTAAATTTATTTTTCTTATAATCATTAAGTTTTAAAAATTATAAAAGTAAAGTTTTGTTTTAAAAATAATTAGAGCAAAAGTTGAAATGATTATACGAAAAAATAAACATTTCATTTAATAGTAATCAAATGTCAAATTTTTCGCATGTTATATTCAATGGAGGATATATTTGAGAAATTTAACATGATAAATAACTTTGTATTAAAAAAATGTTTTTTACACTTAAATACTACGTTTATAATTGACACGTCAATTATAACATTGTATTAAATATGTTCTAACCATACATTTAGATGCACAAACCCCACAAGAAAAGATTATAAGTTATGGAGAAGGAATTAAATCGTAATCGCTAAACAAAAAGAAAAGAAAGTAAAATCGGTAGATAGAGATTTCCATAAACATAGAGGAAAGTTGGGAAATTTTTTTTTTTTTTTTTTTTTTTTTTTTGAAGCCGTGTTTAAGATTTTTCTTTTAAGACAACAAATTCTCTATTAAAGCAAAATTAAAAGCATCAATAAATAATATCCTAAAAGGAAACTTAATTTCTTATAATCAACCCATAGACAAAAACCAAATGACACAAGGAAATTATTATGATGGTAGTGATTAGGAAAATTTCCCAATCAATCTCCCACTACTTAATTGGATTTGAAAGCAATAAAAAGGAGGAGAAAATTAAATTCTTATGTAGGTTATATTTCTTGTAAATTTTCTTCTGTTTCTTATTATTATAATTATTACTATATTATATTATTATTATTAAATGTTACATGTTTATCCAATTTTTATTATAGTTGGATTATAATTGCACTGTTCGCTTTCCGAGAAGTGAGGGTTGGTGAGTCATCTCATTGGAAAGTTACAAACATAAATTGTGAATGAATGGATTTCACACGCAAACACATTCTATTTGAGCAATTTACACCTCTCAACTGTAAAACATTTACACTTTGGTGCAATACAAGTTACAGAAATTTCGAGTGACTAATTGTTCTCACGAAATTTGACTCTACTTAAAATTAGGTAAAAGCACTAGAGATGGAAAATCTCAATCCGTAAAAAGTACAAAGGTTCATCTAACCGGTCTTTTTTTCTAAAAGCATAAAAGAAAGTAGAGAGCACTAATCATAACATGTATAGAAATTGGCCACGTTCATTTTGCCGATTCGAGTTTAGAATTCGAGTTTTGCTACAGTAAAAAGCTCTAAAAAACAGTCACATATAACTTTTTTGTTACAGTAAAAAGCTATTACATAACGGCACATCTCAACTCGAATTAAAAACTTGAATCAACGAACTAAACGGACCCGTTACTCTCAAAGGAGTCTTATTTGCTTAAAACATGGTTAGAAAACGACATAATCCATCAATTCCTTACCTCAAATAATGCAAATTGTTGGAAATCAAAGGCAGTTTTTTTTTTTTTTTTTTCCCTTCTTTTATCAAATATGATGAGGTCAAACAAGGATATGATGGGTGGGATTTTGGACATTAGTTCAATTCCGCGTTGGCTAGAGACATTTTTTTTTTTCATAAACTTCTTGGCCATGCTAAATTTTTAACGTGATCAAATGATTTTGAACTTATCTTAGTCAACTTTCCTATGTAAAAATTTAATTTTGAATCGCCGACAGTGGTGACATGGCTCTCTTTCTTTTCATTTAAGAATCATTCTTCTTATTTGCAATGAGACTACAATTATGCCTCTCAGTGAGCCTATCGAATATGGTTTAGGCCTGCTGTGACTTGAGCCCCATAAATATTAGTAGACGAAAACATGAACTAGTTTTCCTTGTCGTCCTACTTGTAATCTCAGTTGATTTCTCTTATCCTTTTTTTCTTAAGAAAAAAAAAAGAGATTTTTTTTCGGACTGCTTCTCACCCAATTTTGTAGTTTGCCAACAAAAAGCAACAAAGTATTGAGTCATTGACAGCTGATCCTGATTTTAGAGAATTTCTGCAACCATAAGCAGTCATTTTAGAGCATATTTGACTTTCATATCCATCAAGTGTAAGCCATAAATGCAACGTACATTACACTCACGTTTATTTAGTTTATTGATTCGAGTTTTTAATTCGAGTTGATATGTGATTTTATGTGAAAATTTTTTACTGTAACAAAAAAGTTAGATTTTATGTATTTCTGAGAGTTTTTTACTGTAACAAAACTCGAATTGGTAAAATGAACATGACCGTATATCTATATTTTTATTCATTTTAACTCCCAATCACAATCTTTAAAAAAATACTAAAAAAAAGAGAGATGGAAGAGAGGATTACACTGTTACCTAGTCATAAGAATTTAAAAGCTCTCCTTTATAGACAGAATTAGAGAATTTCTGCAACCATAAGCAGTCATTTTAGAGCATATTTGACTTTCATATCCAATAACTGTAAGCCATAAATGTAACGTATAGTACACTCACTGACTCACTCAATTAAAACAGAAACTTCCACAAGTAAATAAAAACTTCTAGCAGATTAAAAAAATATATACATAAATTGCAAATTGCTATGATAAAACATTTTTACTAAAATCTTGCAAATTGCTATGATAAAACATTTTTACTAAAATCCGACAATAAAAAAGCATTCCCTTACCATTTAAATGAAGCAAGTGATTTTCTCACAAACCCATTTACAAAAAAGAATTGAAAAAAAAAAAAGCTTATTAGGTCCAACCAATTGTGCTCAAATACCAAAATGGACTTCTTTTTCATATTTTTTAGTTTGGGTGAGCAATGATATCTTTTATGTTGTTTGATTGGACAATGGAATTAAATCTGATTTCTTAACTTCCTTGTGAATGACAAGTGGAATAGAATTTTTGAGTGAAGTGACTAATGAGTTACAAAAAATATGTGTATATATTATTTGCAAATACAAACAATAATAATAATAATAATAACTAAAATAATATTGAAATCGCAATCGGCAAACCATGCACACGGCACTTATTTCACGGGCCTAGTAGAAAAGCATGTGCGCGTTAAACAAAGAAAGGTCGATTATGCATAATTGTTTAATGTTGCACTAAACACTGAGCGCTAACAAATATTTAAATATCAAATATCATATCCCTTTTTTTATCTGCATTATTTGACTTCTTCCTCTATCTTAGAAATATGCCGAAATAATCTCGATTAGCAGAACACTTAAAACAATTGTCTACATCTTTTAATGGAAAATAACTTTTCTTAAATGCCACTATGGCTACGTAAGCGAATTCTTCACATAATGTTCGGTAACCAAAAGACAATTAATAAGTCTAATTAGTTGAAAATTTTGAAGGTCCTTCTAGTGGATCTTTGAACTTAAAAATGGACACATTTTCAGGCATGATCTCCGTAGATTCTCTGTTTGGCAACTCAGATATTTAAAATGACATATATTCCTCCACGTGTGTGAATATTAAAATATCCAATACACCAATACATAAAAACCCTTAAAGGCCAACAAAGATTTATACTAAAGAAAAAAAAAATGTGAAGATTTTTCTTTAACCATACAACAAGACACACATATCAGTGGAGATTCTGCTTTGGAGACAACTAATGCTCACGGGAAATGATGCAGGGAAAAAAAGGAAATATCCCATCTGCCGCTGAAGTGTATGATTGTCTCCTCTTTCTTTTGTTTTTGTTTAATTTAAACAAGTAATAACAATTATTTAAAAACAATGATTTGACCTTTAAATTTAGGGAGTTTTTTTTTGTAGAATTGAAAAAAAATAAATTAACAGTAATTCTCTATTTTTTAACTATCAAATATGTATAAAAAAAATCATCTGTTATGTATATACATTGTAATATTTGACTAAATTCGACTCTAATGATATTCTGATCTATTGAGTGTTAAAGTATAAAATTATTGTTTGTCCACCTCTTAATAGCTTAAGCTTTTAGGATGGATTGGTAAACTAACACCGAGAAATTTCATAACTTTTATGAATAGAAAAAAAGTTTGTTTTTCTTGCTGCTTAACTTTTTTCGACACCAAAATTTGTGGGTAAAAAGTAGTAGTAAAAATTAAGGGTGCGTTTAGAACTCATTTTAAAATGATTTTATTTTTTATATGAAAATAAAAATGAAAACGTTTTCAATCTCAGACAAAAATCATTTTTAAAAATGCGTTTAGTAGTTTTATCAAGAGATTATTTTCAGTATAAAAAAATCAATTAAATCCATTAGTGTCTCTCTCTCCACGAGAGAGAAAAAATCAGAAACAAAAAATAAAAAATGACTAAAAATTATTTTTTATTTCTCTCTCATTTTACACTAAATTAAAAAATTATTTATATTTATATTTTTTATCTTTAATTGTGTCAAACGTTATTTTTATCCTGTTTTTATTTTTTTCTCAAAAAATGTGAAAAATAAAAATAACTTCAAACGCAGCTCAAAAGAACCCATTTAGTGCACACCTTTGTGACACAAATGGCTTAAGAAACTGCAAAGTTTGTGGTGTGTTACATTACAATATTTGCTTTTTTATCACTGTCTTCCTTTTGTGTATGGATAAAAGGACAAATAATTATTAGACAATTTGGACTAGGTCCACAAGCCGCATTTTCCAACACCATGTCGGCCGCTATGTCAGGCCTTTTGCGCTTACACACACACACACAAATATAGACCGAAAACAAAAATCATGCCAGCAACACAACTCAAACAACGGACGCGCAAGAAAAATGTATTGAAACTTTAGGTATTGTCGACACTAAGGCCCCGTTCATTTCACTGATTC